GAGGTAAAGTCCTTATTACAAGGTCTACTTGATCAGGGTATCATAAGGCTGAGTGAAAGTCCTTATGCAAGTGCGGTAGTGCTTGTGAAGAAGCGTGACGGAGGTTTGCGTTAATGTGTTGACTATAGGAAGTTGAATGCGAAGACAATTCGCGATGCATTTCCTCTTCCGCGGATAGAGGAGTCACTTGAGGCACTGCAAGGTGCCAAGTGTTTCTCGGCTATTGACTTGGCACATGGCTACCATCAGGTCGCCATGGACCCTGGTTCAGTAGAGAAAACAGCGTTTCGTGTACCATTCGGACTTTACGAATTTACACGAATGCCGTTCTGATTGGCGAATGCTCTAGGAACGTTCCAAGGGTAATGGAACAGTGTTTAGGAGACATGAACTTGTCAGAATTACCGATATATCTTGATGATATATTGGTGTACTCGTCAACTGTAGAAGAACATTTGCAGCGCCTTGACAAGGTTTTCACAAAGCTTCGGGACTTTGGCCTGAAAATCAAGGGCAAGAAGTGCTCCTTGTTTCGTTGTGAGGTAAATAACCTCGGGCATGTCATCAATGCGCAAGGGATTGCCGTTGATAGGGACAAGATACAATGTATTCAGGACTGGCCAGTCCCTAAGGGGTCAGAGGAACTGCAATCATTCCTCGGGCTGGCGAGTTATTACCGCTGTTTTGTCGAGGGTTTTGCTGCAATATCTGCACCACTGCATGCTCTACTTCCACCAGCCAAGAAGGGTAAACCTCGAGCAGAGGCTGGGTTTACCTGGAATGCCAGTGCACATGCCGCGTTCGAGAAGCTAAAACAAGTGTTGGCGCAAGCCCCAGTGTTGGTATATCCAGACTTTAGGAGACCCTTTGTCCTAGAAGTTGATGCTTCTCTAAAGGGACTTGGCGCGTGTTTAGCTCAGCGTGACCAGGAGGGAAGGCTACACCCCGTTGCCTACGCGAGTAGAGGTTTGCGCGGTGCGGAGTCGAAGTATCCGGATTATAGTTCCTTCAAGCTAGAGCTGCTCGGCTTGAAATGGGCGGTCGTGGATAAATTTAGAGATTACTTGATCGGTGGAACATTCACAGTCCTGACGGATAATAATCCGTTGTCGCACTTGAAAACAGCAAAGTTGGGTGCAAGTAAAATGAGGTGGGCGGCACAACTCGCTGCCCTCAACTTTGACATTGAGTATAGGTAGGGTGCAAGCAATCGTTGTGCGGACGCACTGAGCAGACATCCTGGAAACTGCTCTTTGGAAGTGATTGCTGGGATTCTTCAAACTAAGACACATTCGACTTCGGTTCCATTACATGTACATGTAGATGCATGTAATGCATGTATTCCAGAAAAGGACAGACCTACACAAGCAGGTCCACCTGGAGTTTTTCCATCATGGTCTTCTGATCAGCTTGCAGCCTTGCAAAAATCAGATCCTTGCTTGAGTGTTGTTTGGGAACGTTGGGCTCAGCAGTGGGTTCCAGGTGAAGTAATTCCTGGGGGCGAAGACGATGCGCCTGAACTGAAAAAGTGGCTGTGGCAGTGGTCACGTTTTACGGAACGTGACGGAGTCCTTTGTCGTATAGTTGAGAATCCAGTTGTTGGGGAAGTGTTCCAAATACTGATGCCGGAGTGTGTTCGATCCAGGGCCATGGAGGGTTGTCACGAAGGCTTGGGGCACCAGGGGGTGACCCGAACTTGTTCGCTATTGCGCAGGCGCGTGTACTGGCCAAAAATGGAGGCAGACGTACGAGCACATATCCGGAAATGCGAGCGCTGTGTCAAGGCGAAGGTGTCGGAACCTATGCCAAAGGTTCCCATGCGTCACTTGTTGGCATTTGATGTTCGGGAGAGAACCATTAATTCCAATAGACCAAATACTGGGCTGTAGTGATAGTAATTGGGGGCAGGATTTTGTCCAGGAGCCGTCTGAATTGCTGGAACGTGCAGGGGCATTGGTAAAGGAAAGGGTACGGAAAAGAACTCTTCAGAATGAAGCCCGCCACCATAAGGTTAATGCCGTTCCTTTACAGGTTGGTTCGCAAGTGTTGTTGAAAAAGTGCGCGTTCAAGGGCCGGCATAAGCCAAAAGATGCCTACGACAGGCAGCCATATGTTGTAACTTGGAAAAATGCACATGATGATGTGTATCGCATCCGTCCATTGGATGGTGGACCTGAAAAGACCGTAAATCGTAAATACCTGCGTGCAGATCCACTTGCTGAGTCGGATAGTGGATCAGAGTCAAGCGACGAATCTGAATTTGATATAATCGTAACAAAAACCACTCCGAGTGGCGTCAACCTTGGGCAGAGTGTGGAAAGCGAAAAAGTAGGGGAGCCGCTTGTAGCCTCAGGGATGGATCCAGTCCTTCCACAAAGGAGATCACTAAGGAGAAATAAAGGGAGTCACTCCAACCCGCATAAGCTGCCCCGCTCTGTTGTAAAGTAATCTCCATGTGGTCGTTGGCATGTGGTTGAGTGGGACTCGGAGACGCTCTTTGGAAGAGACTTGGGGCATCCAGTCTTCCAGTGAGCCGACCCGACCTCATGCTGCCATTTTGCTTCACACTGCATTGGGGAATTGTCAAGGTTGACTATTTGTTTATAATGATGCTTGTATGCCTGTATGATTGCATAGTAGCTTGTTGGTAATCATTCAAGTTTTGGCTTGATATTGAAATACTTTATTGGTTTTAATTAAAGAATAAAAGGTCATGTAGATTATTCAACTTAGATATAAGCTGGAGAGGAGGAGGCATCCTCTAGCACCTTAGTCACCAAATATGGGATTCGTATTATTTGGACACAGCTTTGTGAGACGGTTATCTGGTAGGCGGAGAGCCACAATAGATGTAGAATTAGAAGGAGGGAATGTACCTATTTCTTGCATTGGAGAGGGAGGTTTGACTCTAAGTCGAGTTAATTTAAGTCATTCTCGTTATTGTCAAATGATTGCCAAAGAAAATCCTTCTATCTTGATAATTGACCTTGGTACTAATGATTTATGTGCAGTAAGTGTAACTCCAAAGTCTGTATGCGACTCACTTTGTAACTTTGTTCGGGATTTACCCATGCATGGTGTTAAACCTTGTGTAGTAGTGTTCCTACCAGTCTTGCCACGTATAGGGAATATGAGGCAGGGTCAAGTGTCAGTTTCTCAATTTAACGAGAGGGCAGATGCTTTTAATGAGCTGTTAGAAGCAGAAATGATGAAAGAAGATCTTTGGTGGGTGTGGCACCATCGTGGTCTGAAACATCCACGATATAATCTTGATGGGGTTCACTTAGATCAGTTGGGGATGAGCCAGTATCAGAGAACAATCAGACAAATTGTAAAATATTTCGAAAGAAGGTGTTGGTAACTGATGTATGTACAATGTAAATGTATTATATTCTGCTAAACCAGAAAGTGTTTGCAGAGTGGTGCCTTGTTGAGCAAGTTGTTAAGAGCAGCTTATGCTAATTATCCTGTTAAAGCAGTGTTCGAATTTGTGAATTAAGCTGATCTCCAGGAGTAGATCAAAAAAAGTAGGGGAGTTTGTAGGGGAACGATTAGATCTGATTTTGCCCCATAATTCACAACTTTGACCAATAGAAGGNCGTCCGGCCCAAAAATCAATACATGTACACCAAAATAACTTTCAGGTATGTGATAATGAAAATACAAATTTTTGCATTTGAAGTATCAAATATTAATCAGGTTGAACTATATTATGTCAATCATCCCAGGCACAAATGTAAAGAGGTAACAAATACATACAATACTTAGAAATGAAACCTTATGAGGTTTGGGGACTGCACAGCTTTTCCAGCTCTGTGACTAACTTAATCTTCAAAAGAGTGGTGTTGACAAGGACAAAAAATCCTTTCTCTTTCCAATGAAAACCTGAATCAAAATGGGTAGAAAGGTAAAATACTCAAGATGAGAAATTTGGGTTATTACATGAACAGCGCCCTCTCAAGAGAATTTTCTGATATCGAGAGTCAGGAATACAAAAGTTTTTTAAATACAATGATACCAATGTACAGGCCCTTTCCTATCCTTTCGTCAATTGTTACTTCTTATAGGTTACCAGATAGGTTAATCAAAATCTGTTTAGTAACCTTCGATGAGTTATTAAACAAAATAAACCCTGCGTCAATTAAACAAATTTCCAAAACTAAACACTGTTCTTACTTATTGAATTCTTAGTGATTAATAGGTCATATAACGCATCTTGTAGTTCAAATTTATTCAACAATTCATTCCCTGTTCTCAGTGAAAGTATTTTCTTTCATGACGTAAAGAAATCCCAACCAGACGAAAAGAAATGAGAGAAGAGCAGCAAAGTGAAGAAAGCGGAGCATCAACACCTGAGGAACTCAAATAGAGAACGGAGCAACCTCCTGACAAAGACAAAACTCAGCTTTTTTCGTAAACTACAATGCAATATTGTAGTGGTCCTACGCATCATCTAACTAAACGTTTGAAAACAAATAACAACATTAATTCATGTTTTGAATTTACCAATTTGTAGTTGTTGAAATGAAACGACTAACATTTTTCCAATGCTGTATAACAACATCTGTGTTATCTGCTAAGAGATAAACCTAAATGAGGAAAACACCATTTTGGCAGTTTAAGATAGGTGAGACAAATCTTTGTCCAAAATCCCCTACTGAATGGACCGAAAACACTTTGTTTCCAACTGAACCCAGAGACATCTGTCTCATCCTTGAAAGAACTGATCAACAGCAAGATCGGCATCTAGCCCCCACATCAGCACCTTTACATCAGGAGAAATTTCCAGAAATTCCAGGTGGGTATATTACACATAAAACCAACACTGCCGCATTCTATAAACATTAAGGAATCAACCATTTGTTCTAATCACAGAAATTTATTTTCTAGGCATAGTGCAATGTCTTCAACTCCTATTTTCAGATTTTAAGTATTGTTAGTAAGTTTGTTGGATTTTTGTCACACTATCTTTACATGTTCAGTCTAAAAACTCAGACTTTGCCCTTGAAGGTATGCATGTTTGCATTTTCTTTTCAGCTCTGTGACTTGCTTATATTCAATGACCATGAAATTCACCAGGACAAGAACATCGCAATTAGTCAGTCTTCTGATGGCCTGCTGGGTGGTGGACAGAAAGGTAAATAGCCATTGGAGATATCAGTTTTTAAGATGGAAATTTAAAATCCCCTCATCGTAGGTAATTCCCAGCAGGATGCATATTATCATCAGCCCTAATGAAATGAAAACATAATTTGATATAAACAAGGAAAATCATAAAGGACTTCTTAAATTACAAATACTCAACACAATCAGTAAGCTGCTGGTTGTAATCTTATTAGTCCATTGTTACATGAAATTAGTACCAACAGGACATCAAATATTTCTAGAACTGCACTCTAATAGTCCAATTTAAAAAGGTCAGCTGTGTGCATTAAGTGCATTACTTTCTTCTCACCTCAAAACAATCGGTCAAAAGTCTGAGAATCTGAAAGGTTTCTGATGTGAAGTTCACATAAAAATGTAGCGACAAAACAAATTTAAACAGCAAACATCAGGCTCATGCGACCCAACCTAATCCCATACTTCCAACAGTACCACCATCCCATTCACCCCACCATACTCCAAACAGCCACACCAAGTAAAACCCACCGACCAAATTAATGGCTGACTCGCTGACCAACCAAGTAACTACAAACTAACTTGTAATACTGATATGATTGAAGATGACAGCATTATTTATTACATCTTGACAAGATACTTGGGGTGATATAAAAATGGTCTACCCAAGCTTGTCAAACTGAAAACTTATCCCCTCAGAATGACAAGTTAAATCCTATCGTTTTGGACATTATTTGAATAGTGTGGGCAAAGCAAACTCTGTCTTTGCAAAAGACTTCCTGGTGTTGGATGACATGTTGTCTTTAATATTTCTGGCTTCCTTACTTCGTTTTTACTTTGTTTTGTCCACATAAAAGGCAATGCAGATATACAGTCTACAATATCACTGTAATATCTTTCAAAGAGGTTCAATTTGCTTTTGGCAGACAAAAGCCAGATTGATGATCCACTCTTCCAGGACCTATCCATGAAAGTAAAAGAATCCTGGGAAAAGTTGGCCAAGTGCCTAGGATACAGTGAAGATGTCATGCAAATCCACACCATCTCTGAAGACAAAAAAGAATGCTGTCATCACATGTTTCTGTCTTCATTGAAAAAGCAGACAAATCATGAAGCAGGACTCAAGAGGCTAGAAGAAGCATTAGCAAATGTTGGTTTTGCTGAATTGTCCTCACTGGAGCCAGGTGAGTCTATATGCACATCTTGAGAGTTTGTGTTGGAATGAGAGCATTTTCATCAGATCATCTGTGTGTAAAGCAGCTTTCAATCCCTAAGAAAGGCCACACTATGCCATGTCCGAAAAAATCCTGAAAGCGTTTTACGATACGAAAAAAAGGCAAGACGTTGAGTCAATTTATAGACTACTTAATTCAAAAGCTTTTTTCACCTTCAATAAATTAAATTGATTAAAAGACAAAAAAATAAAAAGAACAGAGGGTTTGCATTCATTACTATTTTCAATAGTATAGGGTCCACGTGTACATCAAAGGGTTATGGTAACCTTACATATCATTGAACACCTTTCTTTTAAAGAATCAGACCAAGAAGATATCCAGCAAGGGCCACTGAAATCAAATGAGGATGAGAAAGCCGGAGCAACTTAATCCCCCAAAACAAGACACTGCATGGATGAAAGAACAAAGTGTGCAGAATGGGACTAAATCATTGGAGGAAGAGATACTGAGAAAGGAGCAAGTTTATGATGGAGACAGGACCCAGCTACAGAAACATCATCAAATGCCGGAGGAAATATGGCAGAGCTTGCAGGGGAGAATGACATCATCAAGAGAACATGGATAGGGCGTTTAGAGTCCTTCAAAACACCTCACAAAAGGAAAAAACAGCAAGCATCAGCCAACCACCCGGACATGTTAAAAAGGGGGATGCCATTTCTCAAAGAACAGGAGGTGAAGAAGTCCACACAACGGAGCCCACAGGTGGATAAATTACGTAAAAGCCCAAGTGAGATACAAGAAGAGGCAGCAGTTGAAGAGCTGCCATCATATGCAGAGAATTCAGAAATTAAGCTCATTTCAGGATATCATTCCTTCTCGACCCCAACTGGAAGCAGTTGCTGCACAAAGACAAGGATCTTTGCCACCTGGGTATGTGGAAGCCATGAATGTCTCTGGTGAAAATAATACTGCCGTTGTGGGCAGTTTTTTCAACCAGTATCAATCTTCAGTTGGACTATACCAGCAAGTGCTTCAGGTAAATAATTTACTATACCAGCAAGTGCTTCAGGTAAATAATTTTCCAAATCAGTATATGTTTGCATGCTTTCCACTTTTTCCATTTCTCATTGCTCCTCGCATGAAATAAATAATACAATTGTACATGCACTAGGTGGTACATAACATAAAATAATGTAACAAACAATTAACCAATAAAACCTATCAACTTGAGTTGCACTTACAAACAAATAAAACTTGTAAAAACTGACGCTGAAATTCAGAGGTACATCTTATTTTAACATTGAAAATGTTAAAATCCTAAAATAAAAAAATTCCTCAGAAAAATTTCTTTCCAATGGAGCTTTCTTTACGTATTGATGGTCACGCCATGCACCATGTAGAGACTTGAGTAGCATTACCCAGGACTGCAGGATGCTTTAAAAATCCCATCTTTTGTTTCTGATGGTTTATGTTATTAGGAGATGGCTAAACAAACCCGCCAACTCAACATACATATATGCCACTTCCCCCCCCCCCCCGATGATTCACTGAAGTATTGTCGGAAGCAGATTATCAAGTACTACCAGGAAACAACCAGCACCATAAGCATGCACACCCCTTGGATCCTTCCAGGACCATGGATACTGATGAGCTGTTTTTCATTTACTGCTCAATTGGTGTTACCTTCCTATAAGCCTGCACACCCCTTGGATCCTTCCAGGACCATGGATACTGATGAGCTGTTTTTCATTTACTGCTCAATTGGTCTTACCTTCCAGTTGTAGAGGAACAAGTAATTCTAGCTTCATGGTTAGATATATTCAGGCCAGAAAAAGTAGGTAATTGTATCCCTTCAAGTGAGGCAATATGTGGTAAGAAAATGTTTTTGTTAATTTTGGATAAACATCTCCCGGCGCAAATCCATCCTTGGACATTACTTTTTTGTTAAAAGTTACCAATGCAAGCAGTGTGCTCAATCTAATGTTTCCACTAACTAAATTCAAATTTTACCACCAGGCACATTACTGACCAAGATGAGATTGATTGAGCTGACTGAACACTATGAAGAAGAAACTGCCTTCTTATCGGATGTATTAGATGAAATTCCTCCTCATGTTCTTTGTTCTCCTTGAGGTGTATTAAGAGTTAAGGATATATTGGAAAAAAGCATCTTGACAAAAAGTTGTATCTTAGTAACAACATGACCGCACAAGGTTGGGTATGCCCTCAATGAGTACTCACAACTCGCATACATTGAAGTATTGGGGTAAATATCCAGCACTGTGAACACATGCACCAGAAAGTACTTTGCAGAAAATGTAAGGTCAGCAGAAGAAGTGATATCTAATCTGAAATGCAGTATATGTGGAAATATAGGCCCCAATGATGCTGGTCTTCATATGCAAAACTTGGGAAAAGCAGTCAAAATTACCTGAAAGAACAACATTGCTATTTAGGGAAATTGTTGAGATTCTTGTCATTTGCCATTGCAATGAAGGCAAGGATAAAAGGAGCTGATGAGATCAAGTTTGTGTGGATTAGGGCAAGTCACCCTGGATGGGTTACTAGACTCTGATGGTCAAAGGTCCATTTTCTCTGCCAAAGAGTATATTTAAAGATGGATGTGGATTGGGTTTCCTTCAACAGGAAAGTTCACGTAATGGCCAGAGTTGTATAGTGACCTTCCTGCACAAGTCCTTCCAAGAATATTGCGCAGGGGTCAGCTTTGCCAATTTGACATACAGAGAAAGGTTCTGTGAGAAGTTGAAGAAAATGTGCAAAAGTTGCAAAAATGTGAAAGCAATGCAGCGACCCCTTCAGTTCACGTGAGGCTTGGCATCAAACTCCCCTGCTACCAGACTCATCTTGAATCATGTTAGAAATCTGCGCCTGGGACCACATGAGTTGAACGCAATGTGTTTGAACTAATTATTGTTGTTTGAGTCCGATTCTGATGAATTTATTGATATGTGTGGAACAGTCAAAGTGGTGTGTAATTGGGAAGATTTGACGTCACTCCTGTATTACTTGAAGTGTGACCCGCATCCATGTCAAGACACCGAGTATAAATTGCACTGTGACTCATTTGAGGCACTGACATTGTTGAGAGATACATGTATTCTATGGAGTGGCAAACTTAAGCCGGGCAGTAGTCAGGATTCAAAGGGATCCGTACTGGAAGTCAACTACACCGTACCTGAACAAGGGAATCTGGAGATGTTGCACCTGGAGAGAAAATACTTGCAAAAATGAATGCTGAGCTTCGGACAAACTTCAGTTTATACAACTCTTCCCACCTTAGAGGCATGCAAAATCACTGAAGACCGCCTGGCCAGTGACCCTTCCCTCGCTGACCGCACCACCCTCTCACCCAGCCAGATCACCGACCTCATCCGGCTCTGCGTATCATCCAGCTATTTTCAGTTTCAAGGCCAGTTCTACGAACAGACGGCAGGGACTTCCATGGGATCTCCTATATCCCCAGTCCTCGCCAACATCTTCATGGAGGAATTCGAATCATCTTCTCTTCTCACCGCCGACCGTAAACCCACCCTGTGGCTACGCTACGTAGATGACACCTTTGTGATCTGGCCCCACAGTCAAGATGCACTTCAAGACTTCTTGGGTACCTCAACCAGCAGTATCCCACCATCAAGTTCACCATGGAGCAGGAGGAAGATGGTCAACTTTCCTTCCTCGACATCCACCTTACAAGACACACAGACGGCACCCTCGACCACCGCGTCCACCGCAAGCCAACCCACACAGACCGGTACCTTCACCACAGGTCATTCCACCACCCAGCCATTAAGTCATCGGTCAACAGTGCCCTCGTACGGCGAGCCTTCCAAATCTGCAACCAAGACAACTTGTACCAGGAACTCCAACACATCAAGACCGCCCTCCACCTCAACGGCTACCAACGCATCAACCTCACCAAAGCCTCCTCCCAAGACGTTAGGGTCCTCTATACCCGAAGTCACCCCACCCTCCCCGGCGTTAGGGTCTCCTATACCCGAAGCCAATCCTCCTGCCGCTACCATTTGCCTCCCGTACCTTGGCCCCGTCTCCCACCAACTTCGGAGTATGCTACAAGCCGCCAACATAAAAGTGTTTCACTCGTCTCCCAACAAGCTCCAAGCCCTTTTACACTCCCACAAAGACAAGCAGCCCTCCACCACTCACCCCGGAGTTTACCGCATTCCATGCGGTCAGGTGTATATCGGGGAAACAGGAGGGAAGCCTCCCGACCCTGTATCAAGGAACACCGGGCACATGGCCGACGAGAAGAATAAGACAAGTCGGCCATCATCAAGCATGCCCACGACAGAGACCACAACATCAAATGGGACAATGCAGAACTTATCGCCCCCATCAAAAACTGGATGCCAAGAAGAATCCGTGAAGCCATAGAGATTTTCCGTCACAACACCGTTCCCCAAGACATCGGCTTCAAGCTCAGCGACATCTGGCGTCCCCTACTCTCTCCAGTACACCACCCCTCCCAGGGAAGTAGGGTCTCCTATACCCAAAACCCTCAGGCACCGGGTCCTCTTTACCCAGCCTAACCCCCCTTTCCCGCCCAAAGCAAAGCTTCAAATCTTACTTATCTTCCTTAATGAGAAGTCAGCCTTTGATATTGAATACATATTGGAACACCTAACCTAAGTATCCAACCAATTGCTAGAAGTCAAGGGGTGTGGCAGTTCACAGTGTCACCATAACAAATACGCTAAGGAAGTGCAGTAGGCTGAGACCTGTCAATTTGGCTCATATCAACCTGAATGGTAAGGTAAGCAGGCTAGCTGCTCTTATTCCTCCATCCTCCATGTTGGTATTGGAGGCACATAGATGAGATGATGACGTCCGTGATCTGATCAGCATTCTCCCTGCTGGGCATAGTTTGAGGAGTTTCCGTGTTCCCTGCAATGCATTCAGCTTGAAGGGATTAAAGACCCTGACAGCCCATCTCTGGGGCCTCCCACAGCTATTCAGATTCCAGCTTGAATATAAAGGTCCAGATTCAGATCAGGTTGAGAAGATCATTATGGAAAATATTCCTTACTGTAGACCTTTTAGAAGCTTAGTTATTACGTGAAAATTTGCATATCATTCAACAAAATGTTGATGCATTTCACATACATATAAGGACATGCCAAACAAAGTCTTGGGCTTCTATAACCCTGTTCACTCTTAAGGAACACGGAAAAATCAGGCAGCACTGCATTGAAAACTTTGCTGACATTCATCATAAGCAATTCTAGAAGCAACAATGTCTTGAATTGCTAATTCAGTTAAAGCACCTAAACATTACCAGAAATCCTTAAAATGCCCATCCCGTGTGTGGCTTGTCTACTTCGTTACGCACACATGCAATACGTGGTATTGTGTAACTAAGAGCAAACTCGGCGCGGTCTGTCTGTAGAAATATGCCGCTGATTACCCGACAAAAAAGGATTAAATTCTGCGGGTTGATGAACCCTGTTTACCCTAGTTTTAAGAAGAAGCGGCTGTACAACGTCTGCGTGATGAAGAACCAACTGTGGCCCATCTCCAGAGTTATTTGTCGTAAAAAAATGAGAGGTTTGTACTTGCCTTGTGTGTCTTGGTAATGCTTGAGCTTGGTAGGGCCTATTAATGTAGGACAACTTTCAGTCGTGACACTGCAGTCACAGTCATCTGGTCATCATGGTCTAGCCTACGCTAGCCTACACCCTACGTTAATGAAAGTGTAGAACCAGACTACAAAACGCTGTTTCAGAACTTTTGCTGTCACCGGCTAACTATCCACTGCCTATTTTGTTTTGAAATTTGAGTCACAGTCGTTTTTTTTTTAACTTTCAGGGCAACAAATACCTCATCAACTGGAAGAATTGGCCCCTGACTGCTTGCTCTTTGGAACCAGAGATCAACCTCATCCAAGATTTGATCACAAGTTTTCAGCATCCTGAAGTGAAAAACCGTAAACAGCTGGGACATTTTTCACTGGTGCAAGCTTTCCAGAAAGTTCTCTGGTACAACCGATCTGAATTGCATCCCGTTGATGTTAGTTTACCACTAGACGTCTTCAGGCACTTTTTTGGAAACACTGGAGTTCCTTCTGCCAGAGTCAGAAGCTACAAGGAGTACCACAAGGAAGGTTTTAGCAACTATGGATTACCAAGAGGGTGACAACATCTGGTCAACTCTGACTTTTATGGACGGACTCTCGTGTTCCCAATTTTAATGCAACCAGTTTTACAATGGTCTACAGAGAACTTTTGCATTGTTGACGGAGAGGTACAGAGAATCACTCCCTTTCCAGTGGAGAAAATCTTGATCCGGTGTTGTGCAGATGCATTCAAATTGGACACACAAATGTTCACTTCTTCAAATGGAACAAGACAAGACATAGTGGCCTCGACCGACATGTATGTGATATTGTCCAGTTCTAAAAATCTTGCAGTCAGTTGTGGGCAGCAATGTCACTCAGTAAACCAGTTTTGCAGACTGTGTTCAACCCTCGTTTTCAGAACAATCAGTCAATCAAAAATTCCAACATTCATTTTCAGTTACTCTCCCATTTCAAACATGCCTTGAATGGTTTTACATTTGTGATGGAGTACCCTTAAAGTACACTGAATTGTTTGGAAAGTTTCTGTATGAACATTACATACTTCCTTCGGATGCTTCTGAAAGTCAAGATATATGTTGTATTTCAACTTTTCTGAAAGTAATAAAAAATTCAAACCTAGGGGGAAGGGGGTGCCCTAGCCCCCCAAAACCCCTCTCCCTATTCAATGTACCACTGCTTCAGAGATGAGATTGCACTCTGGCATATAAAGAGGGTTGCACTGTGGGGCTGCATATGAATGCCATAAAGACTTGGTTAATGCCTGAAACCACATGGTGCAGGTTGAGATCCAAACAGAAGATGGCAGCCTAGCTACTTGAAGTGAAAAAAATTTAACTATTTGGGAACTTGGGTTGAGAGCACAGAGTAGAACATCAGCGTATAACAGGCACAAGCATGGAGATCCTGCAAGAAACTAAGTAACATATGCAAATAACCATTACCCAAACATATCACCTATTCCAAGCCACTGTTGAAAGTCTCCTGCTGTATGTTGCAAAACCTGGACAGTCACTAAGAAACTTGGAATGGCAATGGGCGGACCGGTGCACACTAGTAACTGCACTGAACATGACCTGGAAAATGCACGAATTAAAAAGAATAGCATGGGAATGTCCATTCTTGCTGTAATTCCAAGTCATGTCACACAAAAGATCGTTTAACTTTGCAGGACATGCACTATAACTGGACTGATGTTAGGATACTACAAGAGGTAATCACTTGGATACCAAAACAAGGAAAGAGATGACCTATAATATGAAGACCTTCAACTTCAAGAAGACACAAGATATGAAACTCTATGAAACGCAAGTGGAAAATATCATGCAGGATTGATTCATTGGCAAGCCATAATGGATGCCCATGTTTAACAATAAGAGTCAATGGAAGCAAAAGTAAGCAATGTTCCATGGGATTACAATGCAGCCTGGGACATATCTGAGCCCAAACTTGTACAGTGACCATGTGTGCCGGAATACAGTGGTCAATAGTAGCAATTTCTAAAAACACTGTAACTGATCAGTGCATGAAGCACTAACCTAAGCCAGCAGGACAGAAAGTAAATTAATGTGGGTTAAAACTCTGGATATTTACTTGATATGCTTTCTGTAGACAGTCTGGTCTAATATGATGGAATGATCTGTCAGGGGAGGCGAGTCTAATAATATTCTGGTATTTTCTGTACAATATAAAAGTGCCCCCCCCCCGGTGAGAGACGAACCACACATTCCTGACAGTTGCAAAATGTCGTCTTGGCTAAGAAGAAAGATAGCACAAAAGGTTTTATGTTGATTATCGGGCACTAAATGCTATCACAATAAAAGACACACACCTTTTGCCTAGAATAGATGAGACAGTGGACACCCTGGCTGGTGCCACTTGTTTTCAACACCAGATTTAGCATCCGGCTATTGGCAGGTAGAGGATGCCAGCCAAAGGTCTGCTTTTGTGGTCTGTAATGGTCTATATAGGGGGAAATGTATGACATTTGAACTCTGCAATGCCCCTGCCACATTTTGAGAGACTGGAGAAAGTCTTTTCAAGGTTGCAGTAGAAATCCTGTTAATTTACTTTGATGACATAATTGTCTTTGGCAAGAGTGTTCCAGAGGAGATTAAATCCAAGTTGCGGGAGGCTGGACTAAGTTGTCCTCGCTTATGTGAGTAGGAAGTTCAGCAAAGTGGAGAAGGATTACTGTGTGACGAGGAGAGAACTTCTAGCAGTAGTAACCTACTGGAAAAATTTCAGGCAGTATTTGTACGGTCAGAAGGCCACAGTTTGAACGGACCATGCTGCTATGAAGTGGTTACTCCAGTTCAAGTACACCTGCAAAATTTTGAGAAGAAATTCTGAGTGAATTGCATGGAGGCAAGCTCGGTTGCCACTTAAGTGTGAACAAGACTGTGGCAAAGGTCAAAGTAAAATACTTTTGGCCTGGACTTTGAGGGGATGTGAGGTCATTCATCCACAGGTGTGCCATGTGTGCACGAAGAAAATCCCCCGCGAAAAAGCGAAGGGCTCCTTTGGAGCAGTGCTACATAGGTGACCCAATGGAGAGAGTGGCATTAGATTTGCTTGGGCCACTGCCCGTGACAGCTAGTGTTAATACAGTCAAATCCGAACACCTTTGTAAAACAGCCTCTTGTCCATAGCGGCCACTTCTACATGATTCTGATCGACATTGCGCGTAATTTGTTGGTCGCAGGTTTTAATATTGTGGCCTCTGTCCAACGCAGCCAGCAGACAGGCGTCTTGGAATGGTGCGTGTACATAAATATTGTGAGAGAACATCCACATTCCGGCCAAAGAAAAGTGAAGGGCGCCCTCTTGTGGTGCATCAAATTTGTAAAGTCAGATACCTGGACTTTTTTTGTCGTGGTCAAGCATGCCAACTACCTAGCCCGACACGTTCGGTCCCAGCACGGTGGTGCCGCCGGTGGAGAGGCTGAAGGAGCAGCGGGCGGTGTCCCAGTCAGACAGGTGTCACTGCAGAAGAGGAACTACCGTCGGAGGGGAGGCTGTACTTCGGAGGCAGATGGTTTTCCGCTAGCAGTTTTCAGCTGGCCTGAGAGAATGCAAGCCGACGGAGGAGTTCCGTCGGAGCATTAGGGTAGACACAGAAACCCAAACGGAGGCCGTACTAAAGAGGGAGGAATTCACCACGGTTACACGTGAGACGCTGGAGGAACCATCGGGCCTGCGCACATACAGGGAGACGGAATCAGTCGGCCTCAGAGAGCCAGGAGATATTTGGTGGCGAACCTGGAACAGAGACAGTCTAAACGGTGAATAGGCCAGATAAACAAGAGACTTTGCAGTGGGTAGACCTCGCTGACTGTGGTGTTCTTGTTTGATTTGGGAATCAACTTGGGGCCTAAATCAACGCTAACTAACATTCTCGTGGACACCCAGGTAGGCCTAAGCCTTTTGAGAATAAGTGAACATTAATATTGTTGTTTTTGTGATGATTGTTTGACTCAATTTCTGTGTTTCTTCTAATTCTCCTTTTAATCAAGACAGTCATTTTTCTAAATTGAGTGAAATCTTAGAAATGTGCCCTATTCTGGAGAATAGGCTTCTTCGTAGGAGGGGGTAGTGTAACAGACATTTGTAAAGCCTTTTTCATGTTTTATTGCCATGTTAATCTTTTGTAGGCCGCCGGCGGCGCTGAGGGCCGCCGGCGGAGGGCCTCCGGCGGAGTGCCCTGACCTGTTTCTCTTGTGCTGTGTACGCACCTAAATTGGTTTCTATTTTGGGGCGTTGTGGTTTGGCGGGCGCGGGAGGGAAATTGGAAAAGTGCCTGGGTGGCCTTAGAAATTGTTATACAATTGTTATGCAATGTTATACATTGTGATACATGCTGTGTTTTGTAGAGCTCAAGTGTCACGTAGGCAGTAGTTGTTGTTCTGACGGCCGTGTGGAAGGTCATGCACCGAGTTTGGTGAATAAAACAACTAAATTCTTTTTGGAAGTCCTGTATCTGTCTCCCCTCTTTTGCGTTACCGGGTTTTGAGGGACAATAGCACCCAGGTCTATGCTACAGGATAAAATTTATGCTGTCCCTTGTAACTCGACAAAAACCTGAGTGTCATTTTCTCCTATGTCTCGTCAACTTATTATAGACCGTCATGTTATCAATTTTATTTTTCTTAATCTTGTTTTCAGGTGATAAAGTACATGACGTTGGAAATAAATGTTAAGTTTGTCATTTATGTATACAGAAAAGCGAGACAGACAACAAGTCCAACCTAATGGAGTTAGAAGGCCTTATTAGGACAGTCAGATGGCTTGATGAACAGGGTGTAGACATCGGGACAGTTTGTCACTGATAGCCACAACCAAGTTACTAAGTACATCCGTGAGAAGCTCAGACCCCGTGGAGTTAAGCACTTCTATGACATATGGCATGTTGCAAAGGTTAAGTTGGACTTGTTATGGAAGTTGCTGCAGATAAAAAAATTGAGGTTCAGCATCTTTCATCATATATGATTTTTTTTTAAATTGTTTTCTGCCATTTCTTAAAATCTAATAAGGTCTGAAAAAGAAGCTTACTGTTATGGCAAAAAAAGACAAGAAATACAGAGCTGGATACAGGGCATCGTTAACAACCTGTATTGGGTTGCCACATCAACATCTGATGGTGATGGAGACTTGATGTTGGCAAAGTTTGCCAGCATTGTGAATCATGTCCTCAATGTTCATCAACATGACAATCTACTGTTTCCCCACTGTGCCCATGGTGATTTGGAGGAAAGGAAGTGGCTCATCCCAGGTATGAGGCTTTATTACACATGGAAATAATTATGTGCATCAGTTTGGCTGTATATTGCATTTCAATGCCAACAAACATTTACATTGAATTTATTTGTATTAACCAAAGTATTCTAATGTTCTTTAATTCAGGTTC